CCCTTGTCTCACTAAAACACCATTGGGTATGACTCCAGATTTACACTGGTGTAAGTAAGATTAAAATACAGCTCCTACTTCATTGTTATTAATATTTCAAATTATAAGAGCAGCGATCTTTCTGTTTAATCAGGAGATAGCAGATCTTGTTATGAAATCATGGATGTATTAATAACTATTATAAGCAACAAGGGCATGATCCTGTGAGTTTTTGAATGTGTTCAATCCCATATTACTTAAAATGAAAATCATTAAAAAGAGAGGTGAGTAAAAGACAATATCATAAGGTCTTTCTGCAATTTTTGTTGTGGAAACCAATCTTTTATTTAAAATAAAAAAGACATTTCTTGCAGTCTTTCCTATGGAGAAGAAATTGTAGCATGTAAATGGATGAGTTGATGCTCTGGTAAACCTGGCATGCAGAAAACTGTCTATTACAGAAAAGAGCAGTACTGAGAACTCCCTCAATGTGCTGTTAAAGATGACCTGCAAAGGAAATAAAAGAATTAGACTTGTGTCCTTATTTACTTCTTTGTGGTGCATAAAGATGGACTGAAAGGGCCATCTACTTTCTTTTCAAAATTAAAAAGCCTTTTTCCCTGCTTACTTTTACATTAGAAATTGAAGTCTTGTTTATGCTGGATGACTCTCTGATGACTGGAGAACTAGTGAAATGGTGAAAGATTCAACTAAAGTGGGACAGCTCATGTATGAGGCCCTAAAAAGCCCTCCCCTAAATCCCAGATCAGACTTGACATTCCAGATATTTCTGAGAAAAATAAAAACAGACTTATTTTATTTTTAAAAAATCTTATATGTCTTCTGAACTGGGTGGTCTTCCCCTTTAAGGGCCAGAAACCTGGGGCCAGCTATCTTTAGTCAATGATCAGACCCAGCTGGGAAGGGATCAAGTGATTATAAAAGCCAGCAAGTGGCCTCAGTCAAGGAGGAGTTGTAGGAGGGAGATGGGTTTCTGTAGTAGGCAAGGGATGGAAGGGTGAGGACGTGCATGTCCTCTTTTCAGCATTGAGAGACACTAGGGGAAAAGCCTCTGGATAGAATTGCTTTGTTTTGCCTAAAGTTTTATGTTCAAAAAATAAAACTCTGCCTTGGAGGAGGGGTCGTTGCTTAATTTGTGCCAAGGCTAGGTTTGGCTGTTCAGAGCCCCAGCCCCCCTGGGTTTGCTGCATCAGTTATGGGGGGTGGGGGTGGAAAAGAATCTGGGAGCTGTTATACATGCCACACTGACATTTTTCAAAATAAATTGTTTGCAGGTCACCTGTAACTCCATACTCTAGTTGGGCCTATGAGTAAGCTGGTATTATTAATAATACTGTGAAAGTGGTGTATTTTATGCATCTGTGACTGTCATTTTATGGTGGGGGGGGTTGCTTTTAAATGGCTCACTTAAGAAGCATTTTCATAAACCTGACTGCTGTTTGATTTTACTGCTTTGAGCACAGCTTCTCTTCTGCTAGATGTTGGTACAACTACTGCTGTTTGCAAGTGCAAAAAAGGCATTTCATTGGAAGATTACCACTTGTTCTCAGGCAAAGCCCAGTGACAAGAAATGGGTGGCATACCAGACTCTGAAGGTCAAGACTCATGACCAGTTGAAGAAAAACATTTTACTTATATTAATTCAAAATGGAGCATAAAAGCTTGATAACACTTCATCTGAATAAGTTCCCTTTTCTTGATTCCTGTGACTTAAACCACACCAGGGTTTTTTTGTGTGTGTCTTTGTTTTTAAAGCCTAGCATCATTGTAATCATAGAACAAAAAGTTTTTCCTCTTTGCCACTTAATTGTAACTTAGCTGGAAAGAAAACTGAAACATTAATATTCAAGGCAGCAAACTCAGCTTTCAGTTAGGAGCTTCTTGCTGTGGCCTTTTGTTGCGGTAGTTACTTTAGGCCCAATTCTACTCTGTCACACTGATGTGAATTTGGGGCACCTCCACTGAAGTTAATGGAGTTATCTCAGTGTTAAACTGGTGCAAGATCAGAATTGGACCCTGATTCTAGAAAAATGAGTATTTGCTCTTAATACATTTTTTTCCATTTCCATATTTCATCCATAATGGGGTCTTTATGCCAGACAAAAAGCACCAATGAAAGGATTTAAGGGAAACATCTCCAGAAGTGTGGCTTCCTAAGAAGTCCTATGTACCTCAGCTCTCTGAAGTGGCAGATCAAGAAATGTCCAATAAAAATGATAAATAAGATATTACAAGGCTCAGCTCTTAAGCCAGCACTCAGAAAAACTCAGCACTTAAAGATAAATCAATGTTTTCTGTCACTTCTATCTTTGGATGTAATAATGCATTATGTTTAAGAATCCCAGTGAGAGATTTAGAGCTTTCCCCATGAGAAAGGGTGCTAACATGTACACCTGTCCAGAGTTACTCTATTCAGGTTAATGGATTATTTTGGATTTACACCAACATAACAGCAGAGTTTAACACTGTCACTTCTGCTACATTCCCCACTTGCTTGATCTCATTATCCTGATGATAAAGAGTAGTGTGAATTATTCTGAATTAGATGCAACTCTAGTTTATTTTAACTTCTCTGTTAAATGTGTAAGATTATGTTTGAGTGATTTGTGCATGGTGACATGTTTTATATTTATGGAAGGATGGTAACATCCTTTAAAGAGAATCTTGACAGTTGCACAGAAGTGCTCCCCCAAGTATTATGTGAAGAAAGATGGATTAACTGCTCTTCTAATCACTTATTTCATTTCAAACTTGTATAAGGGGGTATTTGGGCTCTTCAGTATAAGAGTTCTGTGGGGAAAAAGGGAAACATTGTGGCCCCATTTTATCAAGGGCAGTGGAGCTGCACCTGCCTCCACTATGGGTGAATTTGACCCTATGATTCTCCTGCAGTTAGCTGAATTCCGTATCTCCATAAACACATCTGCACTACAATTACAGCCTCGAAAGGGGAACCTCAGTACAATATTGTTCCAGTGTGTAGTGCACCCCAGAGCTTAACTATACACCTGAACCAGGTTAGATTTGGTTGTCTAAACTTCTAACAGGAACACTACCAATACACAGTTAAATCAGATGTACACTGCAAAACGGATCCCTGATGTAAGTGGGTCAACAGTACTGTAGCTGAGTCCTCAGCCATGGTTATTAATATTATAGAGCCCAGTTCAAAGCCTACTGAAGTCAACAGGAGTCCTGCCATTCACTTCAATGGGCTTTGACTCACCCACAGAATGTATTGGGAAGCAGGGGGGCTGGCTGGCTGGCTAGGAGCTGGACTGGTTTTTAGGAGACATGCGTTCTGTTCTCAGCTGTTCTGCTGACTTGCTGTTTGACCTTTGGCAAGTCTTTTCATCGCTCTGTCTTGGTTTCCCCAATTATGAAATGGCTTTTGATTTACTCCTCTTTGTAAAGTGCTTTGCGATCTACAAAGGATAACTGCCCAATATTATTAGATCATAGAAATGTAGGACTGGAAGGGACCTCAATAGGGCATCTTGTCCAATCCTCTGCACTGAGGCAGGACTAAGTATTATATAGAGGGGACACTTTATTTTGAATACAAACACATCTTGTGTGTATTACCAATATATTTTTATCTGGAAATATCTTGCATGCTTTAACATAGTTCAGATTACATTTAGACTGGACTGAGGGTAATTTGACGCTAGGAAAAATACTGAGTCCTAGCATCTGGTGCAGAGGCTAGAAAATTTATTTTAATCAAGCCATTGTATAAGCACATGTGCTTTTCCTACACAATACTGATCCTGTGCCCATGAAGCCAATGGGAATTTTGCCATACTTCAAGGGGAGCATTGCTCCTTCATACAAAAAGACCCTAGGAAAAAGCACCTCTTGCTACTGTATGTAGAGTGCTTCTGTTTTGTTTGTTTGTTTGTTTGCTACGAGATCACAAAGCAAAATTAGATGGCTCCCAAATATATATTGTGGCTGTGCCTATAGCCAAAACGTTTACAGAGCTAAGGCCAGGTCAAATATATTCTGCAGTGTGCCTGTCCTTAGTTCCGCTTTTCAGACCGATCCCCCGTCCTGACAGTGTGTACAGTTAGATGACCCATAGCAGTAGTGGTATAACAGAGAACCTAAGATGCCACACCCCCTGGCTTAAAGTGGTTTCCATTATATGCAGGGTTTACAGTTCGGTTCATGGCTCTCAGCTCCCCCACTATAAAAATTGTTCCAGCGCCCCTGGATGTGGTGTTGTGCAGGACTGTTCGTTGTTAAATACTGAGCTCTTCTATTATGCCTTCTTCACTGGGCTAGATTATGGCACTAGCCACAGCGCGCAGAATGTGGCAGTGAGGCACAATACAGTCTTCAGCTACTCAACACACAGGGGAATGTGTAAGCTGCACTGTCCTTTCAGATGGTGCCTCTTGCTCCCCAAAGCACACCCAAACATGACCATCTCTACTGTCCAGGATGAAGCAGATGCAAGGTGTACTCATAGGAACAATTTGTGCTCATTGGCTGCACTGAGGGAGCTGTCTCTCTGGTTTCCCCAGGGCAGGGACTGCATTTGTCCCTGGCTCACCAGCAGGGTGTGCAAAGCAAGGTGGGAATAATGCTCCTTATGTTCTCCCCCACCACTAGTGCCCCCCAGCCCGTAAGCACTTGCACTAAATTTAGGGACAGGCTAGTTCATAGTGTCTTCTGTCAGACACTCTCAGTCTGTCTCACGTTCATTGAAGCTTTACAATATTCAGGTATCATAGTGGACAAGAAACTTAATATGAGCTCCCAATACAATGCTGTGGCAGACAGTACTACTGTGATCCTTGGATGTATAAACAAGTGAGTAAGAATAGGGAGTGATTTTCTCCCTATGGGTACAGCATTGGTGAGACTGATACTGAAATGCTTCATCCACTTCTGATGTCCACATTTTAGAAAGGATGTTGAAAAATTGACGAGGGTGTAGAAAAGAGCCACACAAATTATTTGAGGGCTGGAGAAAATGCCTTTTAGCGAGAGAATTAAAGAGTTTGTTCCAATTGCTTAGCTTATCAAACAAAACAAAAAACAAAACTGAGCAGTGACTTGATTACAATGTAAAAGGACCTTCACAGACAGAAAATAGCAGGTATTAAAGGGGTCTCTTATCCAGCGGAGAAAGACAGAACAAGAACCTGTGTCTGGAAGCTGAAGCCAGACATAGACACAAATTCCTAATTGTGAGGGTGAGTAACCATTGGAACAAAACTGCCAAAGGAAGAGGTAGAGTCTCCATTTCTTGGTGTCTTCACATCAAGATTGGAGGCTTTTCTGGAAGATATGCTATAGTCAAATACAAGTTATTGGACTTAGTACAGGGGCAGCTAAGTAAAATTTAATTACTCTTGATATACAGGTCAGACTAGGTGACCTAATGTTCCCTTCTGGCCTTAAACTCTATGAGTATGGCTACACAGCAAAAAATCAAACAAACCACGGCTGAGAGTCTCAGAGCCTGAGTCAACTAAATATTTTTAGGCCCATACTGTGAGACTGAGTTAGGTGACCTACACTCTGGGAGATTTGCTGCTGTGGGTTTTTGTGTGTGTGTTTGCGTGTTTTTTTGCAGTGTAGCTATACCCTCTGAATCTATAAATCCCAATGGGGTAGGTAAATATTATCCTCATGTCACAGATTGGAAAACTAAAGCACAGAGGGTTAGATTCAGATCAGACATAACCAGGTGCAACTCCAGTAGAATCACACTTACTTATGTCAATGTTCTGAATTAGGCCCTGAGAGGTTACAGGCCTAACCCAACTTCTACTGCAGTCAAAAGGTGTCTTTCCATTGTCTTCAATGGTGCCAGATTGGGCCCTAAGTGGACTTGCCCTGATCCTTCAATGTATGCTATGCAAGCAAACCGGACTTGCATGGTACCCCACTGAAGTCAAGAGGGACTAATTGTAACCTGTTGCCGGGTTGCGTCAGTGCTAGGATTAGAATCCAGTTTACATTCTGTCACCACAAATCCGCACTCCCTCCCTGTGTTATTTTTTCAAATGACTTTACGGTTGCATGTAAAATACATTGGCACAAGACAGTAAGTCTTATTATGTAAGCACAGGGCCAAATTCTATCCCCTTTGAAGTCAGTGGGAACAGAAAGGGACCCTATTGTCACTATATTCTAACTTTCTGATTATGGTCTTGAGATAGCTAGTTTTAAATATTCTGATAAACATATCAAACAACAAAATAACAACAAACACAACCATGGTATTAGGTATCCTTTGATCCTTCTCTTTCCCTTATCAAAGAAATATTTAAAACTTTTCAAAACTTTATTTTATGCACTAGAAAATAAAGACCTATATGTTTAGGATTTTTTAAGAGTTTTATTTGTGTAACTCAATTTAATGTATTTGTGTATAGCAACTTGAATACATAAGTATTTCCAGTAACACTCTGTAGAATTGGATATAGCAATTTACAACAGCTAGCCAGACCAAATGCTGCATGAAAATGAACTGAAGTGAAAGAATATAAAACTCATAAAGAAGTGCTAACAGGATTGCTTTTAATTGTATTGTTGTAGACTAACATTGGAGGGTGGGAGATGGTAGAATAAAAACAAGCCTTTTTTTCTTTGGTGGTGTTGGTGAAAAGGACGAAAAATTCGTACCTAAGATCTAATAGATTACAGAGTAGTTTCTCAAGTGAAATGGTGGAAACCACATACTTGGGGCAATTACAATGAGACTGGGCAAAACAATGGATAATACAGAACTATATTTCAATATCCTGTGTTGGTCCCTGAGTCATGTACTAAATGACCTTGTTTTTTGTGTTTTAAGATTTTTTGCAACAAACTCCTGATCCCATTTATTTTCTCCTACCGGTAAGGGTATTGATCAGTGATGGGCATACCTCAAAGGCCTCAACTGCTCATTTGAATGTTAAAATTAACTTGAATCATAACCTCCACATTTAGAAAGAGGAATTTTTCAACTTTCTGGGGTCAGTGGGAATTATGTGGCTCTCTTTGAAAATGTCAGGTAAGTATCTTCTGGTCCACTTGCTAGATGACAGGAAGTGTAGTCCAGCCACGTTAACTGGTATATAAGAGAATCTAAAAGAGAAAGCAAAAGAAAAGTCAGTTCATCAGTTTACTGTACCATAATTTAAGTTTGATTATTATGTGATATTTATATAAGAATGTAAATTTTAAAGGCCAGATTATCAGCTGGTGTAAAAGAGAGTAGCCCCATTAATTTCAATGGAGTGATGCCCATTTACATCAGAAGAGGATCTGTTCCAAGTGTTATAGAGATGCTCAACACATTGCACTTGTGCTTAATAGTTTATGAAGCTATCTCTGTAAATAGAAAAAAATATATAAATAAACTAAAACATACCCTTACTATATACTTTGTAGGTGAGGCATCTCCAGGTATCCATAACCTCCTTACTGCTTCCCCCAAATTAAGCTGAGGATTTGAATCATGGCCCATTTCCATTTGCTTATTGCTTCTCACCACTCAAATATGTGAGGGTGACACTTTAATTTGTTTGGAAGAGGAGACAAGATGCTTCTTTTGAAGCCAATGCTAATGCCACTAGTGGATAGCAGACAGGTGATATTCTCAAAATGGCCATCAAACTTTGGCCAAGGCTCCAAAGAAACCATGCTAGCATCTTTCTAGAATACAGTTCTGAAACAATCCTTCCTAGAAAGTTGCTCACACTGGTTCCTGAGATGGTACAGCCAAATCCTAACCATGCTATAAAACTGGTGTACAAATGATGCTTTCTGCAGTATTGTATATGCATGTTCTATACAATAACATGGTTTCTGAAAAAGTTTCACAACACAGTGAAGTCCTGCCTGTATGAGACAAAAAAACCATGATAGTACCTTTCTAGCAAGACCTGCATTTATGCACAGTTTTCTAAAGAGGTGCCTCATCCTGCAAGATGCTGAGTGGTCTCACCACCTATTAAATTCAGTAGGGGCTGAGGATGCTCTGCACAGCAGAGAAAAGGCCTTTGAGATCTAACATGTGATCTTTGTTGTTATGATCTGCTTTGCACTGGCTGCAGGATAATATGGCTTGTGGTTTCTTCCAAGTATAGATTTCCTGGCTTACTATATTTAACTATTTAATAAAATGGTACAGAAGCACAATATAGAAGCAAATTAAACAGTTCAATACCTCAGTGACTGGACAGTGGTTTTGGCAAGACTACCTTTGTGCCACAAGGAAACATATGCAACAAAACACATCTTGTAACAAAAGAGTATGTTTACACTGCAGTGTAAACCCAGGATTTGAGCTCAGGCTCAATCCTAACCCCCCTTCCATCTACATGCAAAATATCCCAATTCAGGGCTTGGCTCCCAGCACCCCACAGGGGTGGAAGATCTGAGCCTGAGTCAAGGTGGGACTCAAGGTTCAAGCCCTATTGCTTTGAAGTGTAGACACAGCCCCACTGGACTCATTCTCTGGGAGTGCAGCAAAAGTATCCCACAATCTTATGGGTCAACTTTTTGTCCTTTGGACAGTCAAGATTTCCCACATTGCTCCATGAACAAAGGGCTAGAGCAGTCACAGTTTGGGAGGGCACTAGGAAGTCTGGGATATGGGTGGTTGGACTCAGGCCCGCATAATGTAGTGTAGACCTAGAGCCCCGGGTTGGGACCTAGAGTTCAACAATTCATAACCTAGAGTTACAAATGAGTGTAGATGCTCAAGGCCTAGGTTAACAAGCTCAGAGGCTGCTAACTTGAGTTCTACTAACCCAGGGCTTACACTACAGCGTAGAGATATACCCAAAAGGACCCAATGCTACTTCCACTGACATCAGTGGAAGCAGGATTAGGCCTTTATTGCCTCATGCTCTTGATGTACAGCCTGTCAAAGGATGCTGGCAAAGCGAAGAGTACAAAAACTATAAGCAGCTATACAATTATGGCTTTTATCTATTGATCCATTGTTTCTAAGACTAATGTACTTAAGAAAATTAAATGACTGAGAGGCTAAGGCCAACATTTTCAAAGTTAATTTTAGGTGTCACACATGAGACATCTTAAGCCTCATTTTGAGGGATGTTGAACACCCACAACTCCTTTTGAAGTCAGTAAGAGCTAGACATACTCTAAAAATCAGGCCCTAGGTGCCTCAAGTTGGGCATCCAAAAATTAAAGTTAGTAGATATTTTTGGAACTTTGGGCTTGAGTGATTTGCCTAAAGTCACTATAGAAGACCAAAGCAAACAAAAGGGCGACACCCATGGAGTCTTTACCCCAACAAAACTTCCTTTGCCAGAGCTTTCTTCACCAGTCAGCATAGCAACTCCCCACAATGGTTTACCATACAATCTTATCCCAAATCAAAATGAGACGAGTGCCTGTAAATAAACAAGCCATAAAGAAACAAAAATGAACTGAAAGTATGTGAACATGTTGTCAAGGTTCCCTCCCCACTCTGAACTTTAGGGTACAGACATGGGGACCCGCATGAAGACCCCCTAAGCTTATTTCTACCAGCTTAGGTTAAAAACTCCCCAAGGCACAAATTCTTTCTTATACCTTGGATTAAGTAACACTGCCACCACCAAGTGATTTAAACAAACATTTAGGGAGGGCCACTTGGAGTCCTACCTTCCCCAAATATCCCCCAAAGCCCTTACACCCCTTTTCCTGGGCAGGCTTGAGAATAATCCCCTCACCAATTGGTACAAGTGAACACAGACCCAAACCCTTGGATCTTAAAATGATGAAAAATCAATAAGGTTCTTAAAAGAATAATTTTAATTAAAGAAAAGGTAAAATAATTACCTTTGTAAAATCGGGATGGTAAGTAATTTACAGAATAAAAAAAGACTTAAGAACATAGAGGATCTCCCCTCTAGGCAAAACCTTAAAGTACAAATCCAGGATAAACCTCCCTCCTCCTACAAAGGAAATCACAAGCCAAAATAAAAGTAAGTTCACGCATTCCTTCGCTAGTACTTACTAATACTAATGGAGTTAGATTGCTTGCTTTCTTGATCTGTCTCCGGCAAGCACACAGAACAGACAAAACAAAGCCTTTTCCCCCTCCCCAGATTTGAAAGTATCTTGTCCCCTTATTGGTCCTTTTGGTCAGGTGCCAGCTAGGTTACCTGAGCTTCTTAACCCTTTACAGGTAAAAGAATTGTGTGCCTCTGGCCAGGAGGGATTTTATAGGACTGTATACAGAAAGGTGGTTACCCTTCCCTTTATATTTATGACATGTAATTAAAGCCTTTATGATAGCTTGGGCATAATAAAGGTTGCACAGGCAACATTATTTCTTGCATTTTCTAACTTTTGAGTGTTGACTTTGCAATTTTAAACACTCTTTTTAACAGTTTTTTTTATTTGTTTTTAATGCAGTAGTCTATAGAATACCAAGGTGGCAAAGATAAGGATTTTCCCCCCTGCGATTTGTGCTAGCTAAACCATCCTATCAATGCTGTAAGGGGAAAAATGCCAGAATTCTGCTGGAAATATCCCTGTTTTATCACGATTCTAGCTATTGTGGTTCTGTTCCCAATGCTGGCAGGGCCTCTGCTTGGTCCTCAGTTCCTCTTATGCACTTCTAGTGATGTCAGTGAGGTTGCAAGGGAAGAAATTAGAACAGAATCTGGCCCAAATCAAAGAACTCAGCACGCTGAACGAACATGCACGTACACACACACACCCTTCACAACCTTTGGTTAAAAATCCAAAGGTTTGGATACGATTATATGTGCATTTAGTTCTTTTCTCTCTTCTTTTAATGGAAAAAAATTTCAAGCTGCTAATTACAAAAAAAGTAATTAAAATGGCAATTTTAGTTCTGAAAGGGATCTTGCCATTTTAAGTATTTTATAATACATGCATGCTGCCAAGCAAAAGGTATTCTGTTGACTACTACTGAAAATATTTCAATGGTAGACTTAATCATAGTTTTCAAAAATATAATTAAAAACATTATCTGGAAAGGATTTTTGCACATTTCATAACACATTCCACATGTTTCTATACAAAGTCTTTGTTCTTTGAGATTAAAATAAAAAAATTGGCAAAGAAGATAGCTTGGATCAATTAATCTTAGTTAAAGCTCAAGCTGTTACTTACATATAAGTTAATTACATTTATACAATGGTTAACTCAGTTAATAAAAATGAGATACATTACTTGTGGAAATATCACAAAAAGTACTATATATAGTTTTATTTATACCAACCAGTTTCCTAAAATAATAGATCTCATAAAAGTTTGTACATTACTATTTTAAATGGAAAATGTTTTCCCAGACAACAATTAATGGATGTCATTATTCTTTCACACTATTGTAAATCATGAGTGACTCTACCAAGACCCATGGAGTTAAAAATTTTGCACCACCTTGGAGAATGGAAGATAACAGGAAGATGTTATGGACAGAAGAAATAACGGGAGTGTGAAATGTGGTATTTCCTCAAATAAAATAGGGGGCAGGGAGGGAATAGCTATTTAATTGTCTAACATCTCAAACAAATTCCATGCCAATGTTTGATTTTGAGATACAACCCCACTGTAGCGGGGTGGTCACCCCACTCCGGTCCAGAGGGGTTAAAAACAGCCCTGGGAGGGGGCTGTGGCTGGGGCAAGCAGCTCCCTGGCTGAGTGGGAAGTCAGGCTCAGCTGGGGCCCCGCCCCAATTAAGGCTCAGCTGGTCCTATAAAGGACAGGGCAGCCAGAAGCCCAGACAGTTCTCTCTCTGCTTTAGAGAGAGAAGGGCTTGGCTGCCTGGAGTTGAGAGGTACCTGAGGAAAGCAGGGCTGGAGGAAGACTAATGGAGCTGGGGAGCTCTGGCCTGGGAACCCTCCAGGCTGCGGGCCTAGAGTAAGGCCAGCTAGGTACTGGGGTTGCAAAGGGACAGCCCTGGGTAGGCAGAGGCAGCAGGTCCAAACCCAAACTCGCCTGTGATGAGTGGCTGATACTGCAGTCTGCCCCTGGGCGTGGGACTAGATGGTGACTGGCAGTAGCCTTATTCTGAGGTGAGGTGGAGTTAGTGGGGGGTTCCCCTGGGAGGCGAGACCCAGTGAGTGTGGGTACTGCCAGGGGGCAGCACCCAGAGCAAGGGGCACCGGGGTCCTGGGAGGGACACGGGGGCCAGTGCAGACAACAAGGCGGATCACTGGCCTGCAGAGGGCGCTCCAGAGGCTGGTGAGCTAATTCCCTGGATGACCAGCAGGAGGTGCCACAGGGGTGAGTCCGACCCCTTACACCCACATTTGCCTAAATGGTGCCTCCAAGCTGTAGAATGTCAGAACAACACTTCAATTGTCTTTCAGCTCAAATGCTCAGGCAGTGCACACTCCAACCCACTCAACCAATTCACACCTAGAAAATAGAATGTCAATTGTTTTTAAAGGATTAGGCCCTTGCTGTTTACTACATTGCTCTACCCTGATTTCTATACAGTACAATTATCACTAAGATGGATATACTAGAATATATTTTAAAAGGAAAACTTTGGCTTACATTGTAACATTAAGCTATGTGCACAAAGCTAGAGTTGCTTTCCTAGTTTCCTATGTCTAGTAACATTTGACTCAGATTATCAACAGTCAATAGAGTTTACCACTATTTTGCTCGATAGATGGCTATGGAAACTAGTGTACACAGAAACATCCAACTAGTGTCTTTGCTTCCCTCCCCCTCCTCCTCGAAGTTCTTACAGTCTTAATCACTAAAAATGTACCTGTTAGCGTCTTTACCACAAGACGCATGTTAGACATTACAGCCCGAGTCTTCTGTTGCAGTAATGATAAAGATTTGTATAGCAGAAAATAGTAAACATTCTAGTGGAAAATTAATATATATATGTCAAATATTCTTAAATAGACAAAAAAAAAATGTGGACCCCATGCTCTACTGTGCATCTGAGTTCCTCTGGATTCTTTCATCTCTCCACTGTTGAAACCCCATTTACGAGAACTTTCAAGGACAGCTGGAATAGTGGGAATCCTAATAGCTGAGTTCAACAGGTGCACCCCTGTTCAAATTGTGCAAGAGCTGATGGAGTTAGGAAACACAGTGGAGGTAAATGATATCTATACAGATACCCCTTGCTGCCTGAATTCCCCCCAAAATCAAAGTGGGTCTTGGGAAATCAGAGTGAAGAAGTGGAATCAGAACCTTCTTTCACAAGAGAGGCAAACTATGCCCTAAGGAAAGAATAAATAGGAAACTCCATTAGTTGAACCTAATGGTGTTTGCTTTATTCCTTTTTTTTTTTTTTTTTTTTTTAAAGCAGTGCTAAAACAATGTAGGAAGCTGAAATTTAGCACAGAGATAGCCCTCATCAGGAGAAGTGCCTTGGAGTGTTCTAGTGACATTTGGTTCTGATTTAACTCAGGAGTCTTGTGTTTTAGCATTATTTAGAGCAAAGATAGGCTGCTGCAGATCCCTCTC